GCTCTCCATGGCGCTGCTGCTGCTGCTGCTGCTGCTGCTGCTGCTGCACACACTACTGCTCCTTGTAAAATCACTCAATGCTCGACATTCACTTGAGAGTTGCCGCTTCACAGCCGTCTTGTGGTTTAACCTGGAAGCTGTCCTGGTGTTGATAGCCTCTGTCCTCCCTACTCAAATTTAACTCGCACGCTGGTGCACTAGTGGCTTCGAGGGAAACTTATCATTTGACTTAATAGTTCTATATAACCTGGTTTTGAACTCATCTGAGGCTACGGCAGCCAGATCAAAATTTTTTTTATGAGATTTGGGAGTTTGAAAAGGCAGCAAGTTTGCTCCCTTTTGCCCAAAAGCACCAATCTGTTGCCTGTCAAATGCAGACTTGTGTTTCTTTTATTGATCCCCAGTCAAGATGTAAAGAATTGATTTGGCCACAACAGTGGACTAAGAGACATCTCCATGTGTTTGCAGCTGCCAGTGTATCCCTCCAGTATAGTCCTGTTCTCACAGTGAAGCTGCCAAGTTCACATCCCCTGCAAACCAGAATTAAACCCATAGTAATTGCTCAATATTGGTTAACGTTAGCAAACCAGCTATGAATGCTCAACATGTAATTAAGACAACTTCGAAGTTATCAGAAGTTTTGCTATGCATAGCTTTGCTATGTAATTTGTTGCGTCCAAAACGCTTATGGTATATCAACCGTCTTATGACATTATGTGCAACTTTGGGGGCCTGTTGTGGGCAATTTGGTGGAGCAACTTGGCTTACAAACAGTCGTCAATGATATAAAGTTAAGAAAAGCAAAGCACTTAAAAAAGAACAATAAATACAAAAAAGTACACCATTGGGAGAAACCAGGGTGCAGCACCGTTACATATAAAAGTGAAATTCCATTTTTGTTTAAAAAAAACAAACAGCTGATGGAATTATATACCCGTTAGTGCCAACAAACCAGCATTTTGAAACAAATTATACTCACTGTGTTCATCTTTTTGCAGGGTTCTAACTTGACGAAAGATCATTTATTTTAATTTACACTAATGCATTCAACTTTCACAGTTTTTCTCAGTAGGTGTTTGTTGTTTTGAGATAATTAAACCCTCAGATCATAGAAAATAATAAAACTGACAGACTAAAGGACGTAAAGAACATTTTCAACAGATATTTCTAGCTGTTTCTTTGCATTTTGAATAGCATAAGGCAACATAGCCCACCGTGTGTCTGGCTAATACACCATGTTATCAACAAAGGATGTGCCGGTCTCACAGAGATGAGAGCTCTATCAGTACAGCGTAAACGTCACTTTATTGATTGGCAAGGACTGGTCTTCTCTTTTTTGTTTCTGTTTTCAAGAATGATCGTATTCAAAATTTATTTTCTCCTATTTTCGCCTCTCTGAACACAGAGGAGGCTTGACAGTGTTTGAGATCTGAAGGGCCTGCTGAATAATGAGTGGAGTTCTCCTTAATTCTTCCTGCAACTCTCCCTTTCATTTTCACTTCCTCCCTCTTCAGCTTCTCTTCAGATTTCTCATGCTTTTGCTCAAACTGAATAGAGTTAGAGAAGTGTTTTCTATCTGGTTTTGATCTATCTCTTTCACACTATATCTCTCACACACACACACACATACTTATCCTCAGGCAAATACAGGCAGTAGTCTGTTATTTCAGACAATAAATAGAAGATTAACCTAATTTTGTTGGGTTTTCTCCAAGGTTGTGTTCCAGACACCAATCTATTTCTCTCAAGTGCTCCAGTTTGCGCTTGTGGCATCATTTGTGTATGTTGGTTCCAGAGCATACGGAAGAGAGGTAAAGTAAAAAATAAGGGGGGCAGTTAGTTAATAATTTGGTTGTTTGTTTATTAAATGTCTGAAAATATGAAAAATGCCCACAGATTCCACAGTGAAGTATTTCTGAGTTTATTAAGTCATTAATATATTGACCAATTTAGCTATGAAAGGTGAAAGTCTCCATCAGGTGTGTCTGCAACAACCACTGCTGCATTGTGTGATTAAATGAATACAGCCAGTGCTGTAAAGTGTTGTTGGACGCCCACACTCACACACATGACCAAACACATAACCTCTCTAGAGATAATGATATCTTTTAGGGCTATGCACAAGCTTCAGTAACGGCAGCTTACCTTCAGGACAGTTCCATGTTTTGATCCCACTGAGTTTTTGGTTATCAGTGGATACAGAGGAGGAGGCTTTCTTTGTCAAGATTACCGTGACAAACGTTTAATCAGTCTTTCAATTTGGTTTGACATTTGAGTTTTATTGAAATAAGTTGTCTGCCATTTGAAGAAAATGTAACAGCTACTCTCACATGTGATGTGATGCAGGGAGATAAAAAAATCGACAAAGAAAATCTGAATCTTGTTAGTGTGGCTTTGATGAAAGAATTGGGACTATTTGGTTAGAATTTCATCGGTTGAAGTAAAACTTTTAAAAGTTGCTTTTCACAACTGTGAAAATGCCAGAAAGACTCAAGTCATATACTCAAGAGTCAAAGCGTAACTACTGCAGCACACACACACACACACACACACACACACACACACACACCTTCACACAAACAAACTAGGTCTGTATGCTGAGGCAGAGATAACCTCCTTCAGTGCCTTTACTGGCAATAACAAAACTACAAGTAATTAGTATTCTTTCGAAACTATTTCTCACCTGGAATACAAATTACCACTTTATCATTATTTTTAAGAAAAAGGGGAATGAATTCATGGAGATGAATACCAATTTTCTAAAACTAGTTGTCGGACTAGACCGCACAGGTTTTCTAGGTATGGCACCTTGGCATTTAGGAAACAGTTTTAGGAATAATTTTAGTGATATTTTACAAAAAACGAAAACAGGAGGTTGTTGTCCGTAGAGCACAAAGACGAGATGAGAGAATGTTTTCGACATTTTGAATCACATTTCTTCTTGAGACTGTGTTCATGTGGTGCTCTAAAAGTATCAACATCAAAGCAAGGAAACCAAATGACAGCACAATTATCTTTGAAGATTAGTGAATATTGTGACAGAGAATAGCAGGTACTCACCATCGTATGTGACAGCAGCCAACTAATGTTTTCCCAAACAAACCCCCTGAAGGCTTTGTGCATTATAAAATACACATATAAATGGAGGTTTTTAATGAATAACTTGATTTAATAGCTGTTAGTTCCGTAAGTGAACTTACAACAATGTGTAGAGCTGTGGCAAGTAGTCTTTCTTCTTAATGTATTCTGGCTCTGGAACAGAGTAATTGGCCCGATTGTTAGAATTCTAAGAACATTCTTCAACCCCTTACAATAAAGACTATCCTGGTAAAAATGAAAGTTATTCACAAAGCATCTTATCCTTTAAGAGAGCTCCGAGGGTGAAAAACTGTTAGGAGTATGGAGGAGGACGTTTAAGAGGCTAAAGCATTTCCGAAGACAAAGAGGTATAGGAGAAATATTCTCCAAACGCTGAATGACTGAATGAAATGCTACAGATTAGATCATACAGGGATGATGTTTGTGGTCAATCTCATTAGAGATCAGCTCAAATCTCCCATCCAACGCAATCACACAAAGACATCTGGCAAGTGGAAAAAGGAAACCGTGTCTGCTGGTTCATAGATTTACCTGCCGACCAACGCTGCTACTCATATGGACTGGCCAGCAAACATTCACGAGGATACACTGCCGCCCATCTGAGTATCTCTCCACACGGCTTGAGAACTACCTTTTCAAAGGTGTGCCATCTTCGCCAACCAATCAGAGCGGACTGAGGTATTTGTTCAGGAGGAGGGCTTAAGGAGAAAGACTAAAATGAGCGTTTGACAGTATGAGAAAAAGATAATGTGTTTTTTGAACATGTAAGGATCTCTATAAAACCTTGAGTGTATTAATATAGCAGCAAACAACTGTTAGCTATGGAGCGATATAGTGAAGTAATGGCTACATGAACAGAGAATGAATGAATTTTTAATAGCTGAACAGGCCGCGCTAGCCTTTTAGTGCATGTGCACGCTCTTTACAGCTGTTATAGCTATTATAGTTAACACTGTTCGCTCCATCAATACTGTTCCCGTACATTTCAGTGCTAGCACCGTTAGCTGCGAGCTGCTGGCGCGCATGGGAGAAGTTTGCCCACAGGGCTTTTTGTCAGAAAGCTCTTTCTGCCATAAATCTCCTTATGTTTAGGCAACAAACCAGTTTAGTAATGTTTTAGGAAAATATCTTGATTTGGGTTAAAATACACCCTTTCTGGCAGAAAGCCCTGAAGGCAAACTTCTCCCATGCGCGCTGTTAGCTCAGCCGTCGCCATGTTGAGAGCTGTGTTGAGGAAGTAGATATGCACTAAATATCGAATTCAGAATTTTTAAAGTGCACTTTTTTAGGTTCAACCAGAAACCCAAAATACAAGTATGAACCTGAAAATAAGTGTCGTGTGTCCCCTTTAAAGGCTACATTTGTGCAGCAAAACTTCTCCGTTGTCAAAGTCCTGTGCTTTGGATGCCTAATCATCCACCCCAACCTGCACACGAAGGGTGTCACACTTACTGGATTGGGCACATTACAATCTATTTGGCAAAGCAAAATTATGGAAACAGGGAGATTTGTGTTGTCTGGATGCACCTATAGATTGAGCACAGGCATAAAAAGGCAACCTACACACTCAAAAAACCTACACAAGCAAATTCCCACACGTGCGCACACCTACACACTTTAACCGCAGCATCTAAAGCTGTCTTCTCTGTCTCCCAACACACCAGGAAATGTTTTTCTTCTCTGAGGCGGCCTAAGTGGAGTGGTCCACTGAAGCCAACCCTCAGTAATTAACTGTCACAACGCTTCAAAACTAACAAATGGACTTTGTGTCAAGGAGGGCCCATTAATTTACTGGCCTCCACTCATTGATCCAGAGCCTATTATCTCCATTACGGCAGGCTTTCATGTCTGGGCATCCTCTCCTGCTAAACCTTCATTTCTCATGTCTCACTTTTGCACAGATTCCCTGGAACTTGCAGAAAGGCCTTGCCGAGAATGTGGAGAACCACGTGCAGACACACGCTCTTCTTCAGCCGCTTAAAGGTACATGCACTATATGAGCGCACACATGCTGTAAGCGTCTGGACGCACTCGCGACAACTCTTGTAATTGCATTAGAAAATCACAAAGGCATGACTTGTACTATAATGTAATAAGCAGTGATTCTGGGCGCAGAAATATGCACGGACCGATACCCTTCACACGAACAAATGATCAAATTCTCACACATATATTCCTCTGCACACGCCACAGACTTCTCTTTCCCTTCCAGCCAAACATATTTAAAAACTCATACTGCACATTCACATTGGCATGACAACCTGAGGGGAAGAAATCTTCCATATGTGACACTAATAAGTGCTGCTCGCAAGGAATGGAGAGCCATTTTTCCACGAGGCATAAATAACTAAATAACACGCAGACGACGGGATCCGTGTGATTTGTGATACAGCCCACATTTATTGCTCTTCAAAGGTAACGCATTACCAGGGTTCTGCAGACAGAAAGAGACTGTGAGACTGTACTTTAGTGGCATTGAGATCTGGTTGGTCTTCCTTACTGAGACCAATGCATTTTTGATGCTCCTCAGTGCATTTTCAGTGGCTCGCTGTGTGCTCTCGGGCTCCGGAAACATTTTCATCATCTGAAGTAATTTCAGCTTCCAATTGGGGGTTTTAAAAAGGTAATATTGGATCCAGAATCCATTTTAAAGGGTTGGCACACCCATATATGACAGAAAATCATACAGTATTTTCTCACTTTCCCACTGGTGGAAGAAGTATTCAAATAGTTTAAGTAAAAAGAGCAATATCACCTTATGAAAATGCTCTCTTATAACTAAAGGTCATGCATTATGACAACTCAAAGAAAAATACACAAGTATTGGCAACAGCTGGACATATCAAAAGTAAATATTGTTCTTATGCAGCATTGCACTGGTCTATATTCTATTATTGGATATTAATTATTGATGTATTAACATGTGTGGGACTTCAATTTTGTAACTTGTTGATATGGCGCACATTTTGAACTCCCTATACAATAGGATAGTAACAATACATCATCATTTATTAACTGATTATATGTTTGTAAACTAGAAGCTCCACCTGTAAAAAGTACCATCAAATGTAAATACTCAAGTGAAGTAGGAGTACCAAGCAATTCTACTGTAGTAAATCTACTTTCCAGCACTAAAGTTACCTCAATATTTAGCCATTTATGGTTTTATTTGCACAGGTTATGAGAAATCCCTGCCTCTACCTCAATACAATATTAATTAATACAATTATGTTTGTGGTGCTCAAAGCATTTTAAAGTTGCCTCACAACAATGAAAAGTAACCAAAGCTGACAAGGTGCTTATATCTTATTTAGAAGAATCCGAACAGAAAGTGTCATCCTTCTGTGAGTCCTTAATTTTAACGACTCCCTCTCCATCCACTGTTTATGGTGATGATAAAATCTCACACCCGCCAAAACTAAGAAAACCTCCTAATACCAAAGGGGAAAATATATATATTTTCAGACTCTCCAAAAGCAACCTGGAAATTATGCCAATCCCGAAATGATCCGAGGCTGAAGGCCCTGGGCATTACGATACAACAACACTTAATCACCTCTGCGACACGCATCCCATTAAGAAAACATCTGGCGCATTGACGCTTGCTTGCTCTTCCAGCCATAATTCTTTCTCACAATTCAGAATGGCTCTTCCATAAATCCAAGCACGCTGCGTTGTGTTTCTGACATCACTCTTGTCATATCTATCCATGCAGATAATTGTGCTTTTATTTGCTCCGGTTTTGAGATACTTGTCCACGTGCCTGACATTGCTAATCTGACCTAATGGGTAACTTTAATAAAACGAGGTGTGAAGCGCATTACATTTGCAATGTACTTGTGCTACATACTGTTCCTGTAACTTTCAACCTATGCGTGTATATTTCAACACAACAATGCTTTACCTTCGTAACAGATTTAATGTGAAGTGTCTCATTAAAGGCCTTATCTAGGGAGTGATGAGAGGCACATCTGTGTTAATGTGTGTGTAAATGTGTTAAAGAATGTTCTTTCCAGCCCTAATAACAGTTCTACGTGGGTAGGTGGATGAGGGCATTTCAGGCATTATACTGACGAGGCATAAGCACTTTTGCATAATATTGTAATAGTAATGTGTTGTTTGGTCAAAGTGTGTCTGGGTCTGAAATGTGATGTAGATCAATCTGACGGCCCTTTTAGAGTACTGCCTCAGGAAGCTACAGTGAACTGAAGTTTACTGTGTGTACTTTTAGTCTTTGCCGGCATGCCTACACACACATATCAAGGTCACAGGCACCTCTTCTCACCAATATCACAGATGCTTGGTATATGGGCTCACCCTCAGCTCCATTGACGTAGTCAGTGGTGTATGTCTACGGCTATTTTTATTTTCTAAAATCAACAATCAACTCTTTGGTTTTACTGATGTCGAGCAGGTTGTTCTCCGAGCTCCACTCGCCAAGATTCTTGAGTTCCTCTCTATATAAAGGCTCAGGTAAATGGCACTTCATATCCAAAAGTTTGCCGACCCCTGGTCTACATATAAGACTGTTTTCTTGATAACATAAAAAGGAGTAATTATAATTTTAAATGATATTTGCTCAATTAACTTTTATTGGGATATTTGTTCCAAAAAAGTACAACTAACCACTGGTTTTAGTTTGTTTTACAGCAAAACATCTCACAGTAATTGTATTGGGTACAAAGAATAACACACAGCTGTGCGCCAGTAGACGAATAGTAACAGATACTGTTTGTGTTGGTCATATAATTGTGGTTTTATCAGTGTTCTGACTCTTAACAGGACCACTAGAGACGTAAAAATACCTTCCAGTTAAAAATAATATATAAGAATCTAGAGCATCAGCTTTTGAACACTTTGCACTTGTCAGTTTCAGTGTGATTTCAGGTTGGCCTCAGAATGTTCTCAGCCAGTCAGTGTAAAATACAGATATTACACCTCCCAGTGCTGTCCGCACAATGGTCTCTATGTGTGACGTTCTCCATCCGTCTGTCTCTCAATGCAGGAAGTTAAAGTGGAGTTTGGGAAGGCCAAATAAAATCCCTACACTCTCTTCCTCTTCTATTTTACAGAGGGATTATAACTGTCCATATTTCCTTCTTCATAGCTGTCAGGTATGGATCTGTGTTGGATGATTTGGTACTGGAGATGTGACAAGGATATCAGGTAATCCTCTGAATATGAATTACTCTACCTACTGTTTCTCTCTTGAGATTCTTTCATTTGGGTCTTGCACTCTGAGGAGTGATGAGATCTCTGCTTTCCTTCCCTCTCTTCTCAAACTCTGTTCTGCCTCACTTCCTTCCCCTTCTTTCTACTTTCTCCCTCTCGGACTTATTTAACTCTCTGTGTACGGGGTCATCAGAGGATAGAGGTAAGAGGGGGATAAGGCGCTAGAGAGGGAGAGAGCGGAGAGAAGGGTGTGAAGACAGAGACAGATGGAGGAGAGGAAGAATTGGCTGAGCGTAAGGAAGCGTAAGAAAAGAGATCATGCTAACTATCTGTCACCTTTAGCCCCCTACGGCAGTTCTTAGCATCTATTCCTTTCACTTGGTTGAGGATGTGTGCTCATCACGTCTGCGCTTAAAATGTGTTAATGTGCCTGAATGCACACATACATAATTTAGTGTCTCTAAATGTGTGTGTTTGTGCGTGCATGCGTGCATTTGTGTGCGTGTGCATGTGCCTACAGAGCTCTTTCTACCCAGCTGATGTGAATGACATCACAGGTCAGGGAGGTAGGTCCCCTCATATCGGGATTACACTGCAGCTACTCTCCCTGACTGTAATGACTGGGGCAATGGCAATAGGAGGAGACTTTATGTGGGTTTGTGCTTGCTTTCAGTAAGGTGTTATTCTAAGAATTAAAACCACATTTGAAGAACATCTTGTTGTATTTCATATAAAAGAAGTGCAAAAGCTCCACTTACTTTCCCCAGAAGTAAAGGACATCGTGTCTCACTATATGAGAACACACAAACATCCCTATTTCATCCCACACGTCCAGTATTCTTTATCTGCTTTCATTAGCCTGTTTATATTGGCACAGTGTGTGGATGTTTATGCTTCATTCTCAACAAATCTAGTTTGAGGAGTAAACAGCTACGGCCATATGGCGAGAGACTGGGGGTCTCTCTCTCTCTCTCTCTCTCTCTCTCTCTCTCTCTCTCTCTCTCTCTCTCTCTGTTGTTCTTTCCATTGCTGCCCTCACCTTTCTCTCTGCCTTTTGTTTTCAATTGACGATGTGTTTCTCTACCTTGTTAATTCCCTACCTCTCTGTCCACTCGTCTCACAACCCCTTGGACCTAAAACAGCTCATCTCTGGTTTCTCTTCTCCTCTCTTCTCTTTTACTCCTCTCCCATCTCCTCCTCCTCCTCCTCCTCCTCCTCGTCCTTCTCCTTCTATGTCACACAATCAGAGACTCTCTTCCAGAATACCTGAGAGACCAGAGCCCTCCATCCAGAGCCTGTCTTCCTGTCTGCAGCACACGCTTACACGCACACACACACACTGTACACTCAAACACACCTTTAGTTTCACACGAATTCATGCAAGAAGACAGAAAGACACTAACATACACACGTACAGTATATGTCCACAGGGTTGCACGAGCAGACACAATCCTATAGTAACTGCTGCAGGGGGACACGCATTCACCCAGACAACCTCTCTCCACATACATGCGATTACTCACACACACCGTTGCAGAGACATATTACATACAGTACACATACTCGTGTGCTATAGAACGCGCACACTTACACAGATAAATACAGAATACACATGTCCATGCGCAAAAAGACTCACAGCTGCTATAGCTGTTCTGAACAATTTGCACTTAAGAAAGAGTTCCACCTTGGTTCCACAGATGGTGTTTCCCCCCTTCTCTCTCTCTGTCTCTTTCCACACTTCTCATTTTCCTACAACAGTCATTCCTTTCTTCCTGTGAGAGTCTTTCTTTCGCTGGAACCACTCCTCTCTT